ATTTATTTCATCATTATCATCATCAATCATTTGTGATTTAGCTCGAGATCGAGATATCATATTATCAAATGGATTTGATATAACCTATATACATATAAAATATAATCTTTTAAAACTAAATTTTTCTCTCATTTTTTTACTTCTGCTTTAATTATTTTATGTTTATGTACTGGTATTTCACCAATAATTTCTCCTTCACCTAATTTCAACATATTAAATAATATATTACCAACAACTTTGCCAAATAATGTATTCTTTTTATCAAGTTCTGGAGTACTACCCAAAGTAAAAAAGAATTGACTAGCATTAGTATTTGGTCCTTGATTAACCATACCAACAAGACCACGGCGATTAAAACGTAAACGTGTATGAAATTCATCCTAAAGTTTTTTTGTTTTTTTTTATATAGAAACAAAATAAAATTTAATTTAATTAATGATTTACTGCAAAGAATTCACCAGTTGCTGATTCATGTCCTTCACCTGTTCCAGTTGGATCACCAGCTTGTGCAATAAAATTTGGTACAACTCGATGAAAAACTGTACCATCATAATAATCATAATGGGCATTCTTTAGAGAAAAGTTCCTAAAAAAAAATAAAAACCATATTACTATTTCACATTTATTAGATAGGGCACTACAAAAATGTTTTTTTTTATTCGTCCGACTTTCCTAAATATTGTGCATCGAGATCAATTGTTGAAATTCTAAACTTTCTAAAATACAAAATAAGAAGACTGAAGGGATTCGGTGTATAAAATCATATGAAATTATATGTCGATCGAACATCTAGAACTAAGACTTGACGAAAAAAAAACTTTTGTAGTGCCGTTTTTAAAAAGAAAAAAATACAAAATTCCGTACAATTTCAATATCACCAACAGTTGTATCTAAAACAACTTTGCCACGAGTAGCTGACTCTTGAATGTAAATAATACTCATCTAAAACATCATAAATAAGTAGATGTAAATATTGACTAAATGCGTTTATAGATAGAAAGAGTTTCTCTTTTTTTTTAAATTTAACCTCTACAGATGTATTAAATTAATACTATGTATGAGATTCTATTGAAATCCATTTGGATTATTCGATTGCCAATGCCATAAATCTTCGCCTATAAAAGAAAAATATAATTTTAAATCTGTACTTAAAAATAAAAACTTATTTACACATTTCATCTAAATTTCGTTGAGCTGTTCATTCAAGTTCTTGAGCTGCTAATGTTGGATCAGCATAAACAGTTGCAAGATCACCTGGACGTCGAGAACATTCTTTATAAGATATTGTTTTGCCTGATGCTTTTTCTAATGCTTTAATCATTTCTAATACAGAATAACCTTTACCAGTACCAAGATTATAAATCTAAATAAGAAAGAAAAAAATAAAATTTAAATCATTATCTATTACTAACTTTTAAACCACAATTCATTTCAAATTGTTTCACTGCTGCAATATGACCTATAGCTACATCAACAACATGTATATAATCTCGAACACCTATACAAATTCAATAGTTTTTTAATGATAAGAAGATAAATTATATTTATTTGCTTATTTTTACCTGTACCATCTAGAGTATCATAATGAGTACCAAAAATATTAACATATGGTAAACGACCAACAGCTACTTGTGCAATGTATGGCATAAGATTATTTGGTTTACCAATAGGATCTTCACCAATTAAACCTGTTTTATGAGCACCAACAGGATTAAAATAACGTAAAAGAATGATATTTCATTCCTAAATAAATTAACAAGAATAAAAAAACAAAAAAAAAAAATAGACTATTTTAATTTTAAAATACGAACAGGAGGGGTGGGTGTGGGATGTGGATGTGTTCTCTCTTTACCCACAAACACCCACACCCTTAAGACGAAGTATGATAGAGAGCGGTGATACTTTCTTAAGTCATTTCCAGTTGACGCATACGATATCTTGCGATATTATCCAGTAAGCGAATGCAGCCGCCGTATTGTTACGCTGGTCGTTAACGGGGACTTTTATAATCATTGTAAACAATGACCGTAATTCATCGTAAAGCATCGTTTACAATTGCTGTAAACGGCTACCGCAAACTGTTTACGTATACGATGCCTTACGATATTCTATCTAATTAACGTGTACAATCGCCGTATTACTACGCTGGTCGTTAACGGCGACTTCTTACGGTCAACGTTTACAATGGCCGTAATATATCGTAAACCATCGTTTACGATTGTTGTAAACGGTTACCACAAACAAATGATGTAAACGATGCCTTACGATATTTTCCGAACAGCGTATACGGTCGCCGTATTATTACGCTAGTTGTTAACGGCGACTTTTTAGGGCCATTGTTTACGATGGCCGTAATTCGCTGTAAGGCATCGTTTACGATTGCTGTATATTGGCTGACGCAAACAGCTGCCGCTATTCGCCGTAATTGGTTGGTATACGGCCGTGTACGATCGAGCATGATTGACCTGGGTGACAAAGAACTGTGAAAAGATCTAAATAAACTAAAATGATTTCATTGTGATGATTTCCATGTTTATTTATCAATTGACTCGAAAGTAACTTGAAAGTATTCGTTGTTGTTCGATCCAAAATAATGACGGATACTATTTAATAGAAAAATGATTGATCTATAGTAGATTTTAAACTCATTTTTCAAGTCAATATAACTCCTTGTACTTCTTTATTTGAATTAGAGATTGCCGTTTTACCAACTCGAAATAAAGTCGTTCATTATGATGGGTATTCACCATAATTCTACGAACGTTTGTTCGTATCTGATCAATTCATTTATCTCGTTAAATTGATAATTCAATTTCCACTATAACTATCACTTCTGCTCCTATGGACATCAATAATAATGAAGATATTCTTCTAGATCATCAGTTCAGCATGACAAATGAATCGTAATTCAATTGACTTTCCTCTTTCTTTTTCAGATGCTGTTCGATCCAGTGCACTTGAACAACTTCATCTCAATAGACCATATGTCAATACACATTTTGATTTAAAACTACATAAACTTTTTATGTTTGGTCCATGTTCACAAACAACAACTATAATTTTGATGATGATAATATCCATGGACATGTTTTGCATCAACATGATTTCGATCATTCAAAACCTTTTATTCTGATTGTACCATCTGATTGTCAACATGAGATTGAACCAATTGAAAAAAGTTTTAAACTTCTAATATCGATCCCAAAATATAAGGCAGG